CTTTCTTGTATTCTATTTATTGAAATTATAAGGCTAATCCTCCAGACTATTCTTATACAGTATTTCTAAATAGGAGTCTGCAATATAATAATTGTAAATTACCTGCTTGATGAGTTTGACATTTCTCTCCTGGGTTTACAGACTTAAAACTGGTGTGAGTGTGATCATGACCCGGTTCCCAACCCTGGCTTATATCAGGTGGAATAATTGCAATCAAGCAACATTTTTAAGCTTATGGAAATAATCTTAAATTGGATCAATTGGGGCTGTCTGCTGGTACCATAAACATGATATGGATATTATTCTCATGCCTGCCAAGCACTCGGAACATAGTCTTCTTGCTCAGTACTTCAGTTTTGTATCCAGATAATTGCAAATGTGTAATAGTGTAACACAGTCCCTTTTGTTGGTAATCTGGTTATTCTGGAACACATCTGCTGGTGATTCTGGAACATCCTACTTGTTGTGTTTTACATACAGAAAGCTTGATGTGAAAAGCCACCAATCCAAATCAAACCTGACTTGGATGTGTGATTGATGATGCAACAAGCAGGGAGAGAGTAAGTTACACATCATAAACTTTAGCAAGCTCCTACTGTCATTCTACTGATGACTTAAAGATATGTGTGCGCTTGTGAATGTAGCAGATTATTCAAAACTCAAATTAAGGTAAACTGAATGAACTTTCTTACTTAAAGGAGAACTCTAAGGCCAGTCATGGCTCCCTGCAGGGATCCCCCCCCCCACTGCCCGCTCTGATCCTCCAGCGCTGACTGGCGGAACGGACGGGGGAGGGGGGCGGGTACAGCTGGCTCTACCTCTAGATAGGCAGAGCCAGCTGTCACTCACGCAGCTGGGTGGATCTCGACAGTAATGTCGGAATCCGTCCCGGCTGCGTCGGTCTCCGTATACCACGAGCTATAGCTCGCCATATACCAAGCTTTGGGTCACAGGAGGATGCTAATTTATGTGCTCCCGTGACCCTTAAGAGAACTATGGGGAAAAACACTTACCCCATAGTTCTCTTTTAAGCACTACTGCAGAATTTGCTGGATAGTATTAGTGGCTTACTGCTTGATTTCACTTGTGCCTAGAATTGCTAATGCAAAGGTCGGATTATATTGTAAAGCGCTGTGCAAACTATTGGCGCTATATAAATCCTGTATAATAATAATAATTATATCCATATAAACATTTTGTTAATATGATGCTTGGTAAGAAATTAGGTGTATATTTATTTCACGAAATTCTATTGTGTATTCTATGTATAATTAGTATGAGAACATACTGAGATGTTTTGAAGCATAGTTCCTGTTTAATGTCTCAACATAAAATATAGAGCATCTGAGTAAATGGTGAAGATATAGTGCTAAAGATTGTGGGTCAACAGACTTAAGTTAAGCAAATTCAGTCCAGTAATTTAGATCATGTGAACCTGAAGATTCCCTTACGAGAACAGATTTATTCATGTAATAAAAAAAGATTTTGACACTTTGACTATTTCATAGTGTAGGTGATAGATTATGCAGAAACAGTGTAGCGCTAAGCCTTTTTGAGCCATTAAATCTAATTTGCCTTCAAACAAGACGGATAGTTAATCTTGATTCACTCATCTAGTGATGTGGTCCATGTCCATGGAATTTTAATATTGTGAAAAGCTTTCCTTGAAAATTGTTCACAGCAGTTAGACATGGTTTCCATGTGTTATAGTTCTTTTTTTTACATGGATTGGTATTATCTTATAGATGACACATTAAGCATATAATTGATCCAATTATTACATTTTTTTTGCAGTTCTGCTCTTTTGGCAGCCGCTTAATGGGACGAGGGTACTATGTATTTGATAGAAGGTGGGATCGATTTCGGTTTGCGTTAAATTCCATGGTGGAAAAACACTTGAATTCACAGATGTGGAAGTAAGTGTGAAGATTATTTATTCATTTTTGCTGTTACCTTATTTGGTTACTAAAGAAAAAGTAATTGAAAATCCAGTTATATGCTATCACATTTGTGTCAATCATAATCAATCCAAAGATGTTCAATGGTCCTAATGTATGAATGTGAGATTTAAGAAAACAAAAAGCTGCCAACACGTATAAAGTGCAGGCACCCAGAGGAGCAGTAATTCCCTGCTTCACCTGACTTTGATAGTTTGGTTAGTTATGGAGCTTGCCTGCTACCTATTGATTCTTCATAATGATGGGATGCCTTACTGGCAAATAAGAATTTGCAGGAGGCAGGGAAGGGCAGTTAAGCTGCAGGACTTTCAAGAAATGTCAAAGCTTCCTGGTAAAGTCACAGTCACGATAATAATCTACCCACTGACCCAGTTCCACCCATCAGCCTTAACATTATGACCACCTACCTAATATGGAGAAGGTCCTCCTTTTGCCACCAAAACAACCCTAACCTTTTGAGTCATGGACTCCACTAGATCTCTGACTGTATGCTGTGGTATGTGGCACCAAGCCGTCAGTAGCAGATCCTTTAAGTCTTGTAGGTTGCGAGGTGGGGCCTCCAAGGATCGGACTTGTTTTTCCAGCACAACCCACAGATGCTCGACTGGATGGACATCTGGAACCCAAGTCAACACCTCAAACATGTTATTGTGTTCCTCATACCATTCTTGAAGTATTTTTGCAGTGTGGCAGGGAGCATTACCCTGCTGAAAAAGGCCACTGCCATCAGGGAATACCATTTCCATGAAGGGGTGTACTTGGTCAGCAACAATGTTTAGGTAGGTGGTGCATGTTAAAGTTACATTCACATGAATTCCCAGCAGTACATTGCTGAAAGCATCACACTGCCTCTGCCGCCTTGCCTTCTTCCCATATTGCATGCTGGTACCCTGCTCACACATGCACCCGGCCATCCACATGATGTAAAAGAAAATGTGATTTATCAGACCAGTCCACCCTCTTCCATTGCACCGTGGTCCAGTTCTGATGCTTATGTGCCCATTGTAGGCACTTTTGGCGGTGGACACGGTTCAACCTGGGCAACCTGACCGGTCTGCTGCTACGCAGGCCCCATACGCAACAAGCTGTGATGCACTGAGTGTTCATACACCTTTATGTTTGAACCAGGATTAACTTTCTCAGCAATTATAACTACAGTAGCTCTTATGTTGGATCAGACTACGTGGGCCAACCTTGGTTCTCCACAAGCATCAAGTGAGCCCTGGCTGCCCATGACCCTGTCGACGGTTCACTGGGTTTCCTGATTTTGGTAGGTCCTGGCCACTGCAGACTGGGAACATCCCAGAAGAGCTGCAGTTTTGGAGTTGCTCTAAGTTGTCTAGTTATCACAATTTGGCTCTTGTCAAAGTCAAACAAATCCTTACGCTTGCCCATTTTTCTTTTTCTTCCAACACATCAACTTCAGGGACAAAATGTTCACTTGCTTCCTAATATATCCCACCCACTTCAGGTGCCATTGTAACAAGATAATCAATGTTATTCACTTCATCAGTCAGTGGTCATAATGGTATGGCTGATCAGTGTATGCTCACCTTTTCCAAACCTCCCTGCTAAATCATTCTTCCAAGATTCAAACCCTGTGTAAGCTCCACTTTGATGACATTGTCCTCATCTAAGGTTGACAATGTTAAAGACTGACGATTGGCTGCTCAGGTCCAAGTTCTGAATCCTGGGAGAAGCTCACATATCCCCCACACATGAAGGCACTGGGTATGTCACTACTGTGTCCTGCAGTGATGTAGGGACTGGTGCATAAAGCTATAGGACTCTACAGGAAACCTGGAATTGTGAGATGAAAAGCGTATTTGGGCACTGTAGTTCTGGAAAAGAGTGAGGATTGGCTGTTCAGCAGCTAAACAGGTAAGTATAATATCTTTATTTCTACATTTTATTTTTGTATCTTTTATTTTTTAATTGGGGTAAATGTGAAAAAAACCATTGTAGTCCCCTTATAATTTACAATATTGATATTTATGACAGTGCTTACAATGTGAACATATGTATACATTGTTTGTAATCTGTATATTACTATGCATCATATATTAAGCTGTAATACTTTTTTTTCCTGTTTCCTTCAAAGAAAAATTCCTCCAGCTGCTGATAGTCCAATGGCTTCTCCAGCAGCACATATCGGTAGCCCTTTTCCTGCATCTGTTTTGCAGCCCTACAGCAGCCCAAGTTCAGTGTACCTCCCTTCTCCACCCACTAATTCCAGAACCACCTCCTCTTATATATTGTCCAGTACATCTTTTGTTTCATCGAGTGACACAAACTCTGTTGCATCACACACCACAGCATTCCCCCAGGTCACGACAACACTGAATATCATGGACTCCACTTTCAAAGCCCCTTCTGCCATCTCCCCAGTGCCGACCACCAGCCCGTCACCGTCACACAAGCCGTCAAAGTCGAAACCAGGAAAATCATCAAAAGCAAAAGATCTGTCTTCACGGAGCGATGAGCCTTCAAGTAACAAAAAGAAAAAGCCTCAGACGCCTTCTTCCACCTCTTCCTCATCTTTACCTTTGCAGACGTCATCCTCATCTACGTTTTCAGGGTCCCACAAGAAAAACTGCGTATTGAACTCTAATGCGACATTAAACTCTTATCAGGCAACTTCTTCCTTTAATAGTGTGTCTGTGCACAATGCAAACAATGGAACAAGCCCAATTAGTGCCAAACTGGAATCACCAGGAAGGACTTCTTTGTCTGGTAGCTCAACGGACTCCATAAAACACATGAGTATGGTTGTTAGCAGTATTGACTCGAGCCTGTCGGTGTCTTCCCTTGTACATCATCCTGGGGAGCATACACTGGCAGTTCACAATGCAGTGTCCTCGCTGCCTCTTCCCTTTGACAAAACAGAGGGAAAAAAGCGTAAAAACTCTAGCGCAAGCAGTAAGGCCTGCAAAATCACTAAAATGCCTGGTATGAACAGTGTTCATAAAAAGAGCACCACCAACCTTATATCTTCTGTGCCAGATCCACCAAACAGCTCCATGTCAAGACAGGTAAGTTGACAGTTATTTGCCAAGGAAAACATATCCATGTCACACACCTCATGGTATTTAAACATGTAACAGTTATTGGTGTTTCAGCAACCAGATGGATGGCATTGTCCAACCATATTGAAGAACATATGTGACTATATTCTCCTATAGCAATAGTGTTTTAAAACTGGACTAAACCAATAAGAAAATCAATTGCAAATTAGCAATCATTTCATAATGATGTCCTTTTATTGCCTGGAACACACTGAATAATCGCATAGACATTCTTTACATAAAAAGCATAAAATGTAAGAAAAAGAGCAAAAATATATATTATGTAATTTATTATAATGAATTTCCCTTTGTGATGGCGGTATATGTTCTTAATTTTTTAGTCGAGCTACCTACTTTATTTTATTCTTGTACAGTGTAAATTGTTTCTGAATAATAATGACCTAGATACACATACAAAACAATATTTATTGTATGCAAAGTGTTCTTGTAACTTGTATCAAATAGCTAACAATGTTCTTGTCCTTATTTTGAATATTTTGCATACATGTTTTCTTATTTACAGGTGTACTGTTGATGGCATGTGATCAGTATTCTTTGATAGTCTTTAGGTTTTCAAACAAATACTCAGAATATCTCCTATATGACCAGGTCAGGACAAGCAGTTGTAAAAGTCAGTTCCCAGCCGCAGGAAAACTATCGTATTTAGGAGTTAATTATATTTCAGTTTTATATTCTATGGCAAGTAATATTTTGTTATATTTTTTTTAACTATAGAGCAGCAAGGTCCTATGTCCTCAAAACATAGTCAGAATTTTGCTGCAACAAAGGCAGCAAAGTTAATGAAAACCTATCTATGAATTGGCACCTACACAACAAAAAGCATTTGGTGAATCCAAAACACAAACAAGTTTCTCTTACGAAGGTTTGCACATTGCACTGTTTGGTTGCTAGAACTTTACTTGGATGTTTTTTTGTAACGCACTTTCTGCACTAACTTTCTTTATGTCTTCTTACCAGATGGGGAAAAGTAGCAGTGTAGCTTTGTCACAATCTACTACTTCAAGTACATCAAATACTGCACACAACAAACAAGTAAGTAGCTACCTGATTGTCAATTCGTATTCAGATATTTGGCATATGATCTGGCCTGCATTTTAACCAGCTAATCAATTTGTGACTTAATACATTTCATATAGCAACAACATAAGTTTTTATAGATGTAGAGTCTGTTTAGATTCTGTTACACAGTATTGTGATCTGAAGAAAAACTGCTACATAAACATTAGCATTGTTTTCCTGGATCCTTCACACAAGCAAGTTAAGCATCACTAAAGAGATATTATGTAGAGATAGAGAAAGAGAGGTCCTCTGCCTGCAGAGCAAATGTTCAGAATTTTTTTTTTACAAACACAATTGTGTCATATTTCCATTATGTCAACGTTATTTGTAAAGCCATCTTTATTGAGCAAATTATTTGGCTTTGGGGTGTGTACCAGTGGGTTGAATCACCTCGCAGCTTCTTATATCTCTGTTATTTTAGTGGTATGGTTTCTCGGTGTCTCTGCGCCACCTTCACAAATGATGGCCTTGTGATAGAGACAAAGTGAGGCAGCTGGTTTCTTCAGTTAGTACTTCTAAAATTTTGGTAAATTGACCATAAGAGATGCCATCATTTGGCTTTGTTTTGGCTAAAGCAGTTGGGCGAACCTTGAAATTTGGACTGAAATGTTGTTGGGGATGTCTTCAAATTTGCAGCAACCACAGATGGAAATATCCGCTATGGGTGCAATCAGCCGTCAAGGATTTATTTTTCAACACATTGCTGTACCTAAGGAACTGTAACTATTTATTCAATACCCCAGTATTGAGTTGATGGTATTGTAGCCCCTTTGTCTGAATTTTCTGACTTGACTCATAAGAAAACAATCTGCAAAGTGCCTTATCATATAGAAACAGACAGAGGAATAGAATTCATCCATGACTGAGTAAACTGAAATCAGCTTGTAATGAATTAGTGTTTCTTCAGTACCTTTTAGGCCAGGTTTACACTTGCACGATCTGTGACCGGATTGCTGTGCACTCACACCACCGCCGTTCGCGCTGGCGGTGCCATTATTTTCTAATGGCACCCCGATCGCGCTGGGCACAACGCGTGGTTTCCCGCCGCGATTCCGCCCGTGCAATCTAAAACGATCGCGGCTAAAAAAAAAAAAGCCAATGCGTCGTGTGTTACAAAGAAAGGTACATTGAAATTAATGGGGCCGCGCAGCAACTGTACATGATTGCGCGTGTCCTGGATCGTCCAGGTCTGCACCAGCCCTTGCGTGTAAAGCAAACCTCAAAGAAAGTAATCTATTTGTTTAAAAAAAAGCAGTGTGCAGGACATCATTTACTAAACATAACAAAGCTGAAAAAGCATCAGCTATAAACCTGCTGATTCAGGTGATTGTTTTAATATTTGTTCTTTCTGCATAGTTCCTGAAGTGCTAAACTTTACTAGGGCTTAAATGAAATAATAGCTCCAATGTAAATGATAAATAGTGCTGTTATACCTGCAATGATGCATATTTCTTTGTTTTTAAGAAGACGACGAACCGCACTGGCAGAATACGAACACTTCCATGACGCTGAAAAATAATCAGACAAGTACTTTGAGGTATCTGCAGCCCTTCATGAGCTCTTCATTGGCAAGGAGCAGGGGCAGTGTGTCGCCTTTCATAACTACATAATGGAGACGAGATAGTCTAAAGTTTACAGAACCAAACTGGGTGTTTTTGCTTTGCCACTTATGGTTGGTGTATTACTTTTTCGGTAGAAATCATTCTTCTTGGCCACAAGGGTGTTTTAGGAGAAGAGACAGTTCTACCTATAGACCTTTGCTTCAAGAAGGATCATCTTCCCCAGCCTTTGACCAGGAAACGGTCATAGCAGCAATGTCTGTACTCCTTATTTTTCTCCCCTTTATTTCACCATTATAATTTCAGTTACATGAAAGAGAATAGCAGCAAGGAAAGGATGGCACATGGGTGAATAATTACAGGTTGTTCCAAACTACATCTGTTACTGTTTTTTGTTAGACTACAGAAGAGAACAGAGCCCTGGGTATCATTCAATTGCCTCTTTTGTGATGGGAGATGAACTAAAGACAACTGATCTGTTCTGTGGATTCTTATGACTGGGGCAGTAGTGAATTGGCAGACACCATCCTTTATTTTATAAGTCTTCCTTTCCTTGACAACAAACTAAACCTTTAACTTTCCGTAATGAGAAAAAAAAAAACTTCTGCAAGGAAAAACAAAACAGTAATACAACAATAAATCTAAATGGGGAATATTAAATTGCCATATCAGAAAATATCACATGTTCCTCTATGTATGAGCAGGATATAAAATTTTCACTTTGTTTCTTTGGAAAGATAAGAGCAACAGAGCATTGTCTTACAGAGCATCTCCCAATTAGATGGCTGTTATAAGGTGATAAGATATACATTAGTGTAATTATGCTGTATCCTTGTTAGAGGGACTTCTCGGTTACATAGATGTACATGGAGACGAGTGTGGGGACAGTGAGGTCCACTTCTGGTGTTGACACTGGAGATTTAAGCCAACACATTCTAGGCTTATTTAGAAATGTGGTGCAGATATGGCATGTGGTTGCCCATTGCAACAGACAAAAATAAGCATTTATTGGTCTAATATACAGATTCAAGCTTTTTCCATTGTATTGTCTTTACTAACAGTGTGCCACTGCTGTTTACATCATGTTTTTGAATATTGTCCTCTGGCTTTAAATGTTGGTCCTGGTCCTTGAGCCCCTGTTAAGAAGACTATTGGGTTATACTCATTGGGCAAATGAATGCGTATTCTATGTCATAATAACATTTTGATTGCTTCTAACCTAGTCTACAGAGTGCATCATTGTAACTTCTAGAAACAAAATACCTGGTAGATAAGATTTCAGTTCCTGATGTTTGCATCGGTAGCACTTGCTGTATGCATACTTGTAAAATACAACGTAAAACATAAAACTAACAATTAGACATATGTTAAAATGTTAGTGAATAATTTTCCATTTGTTGCAAATGGATTCTCTGTAAGAGATTCCCTTCATTATTTATTGTGGGTGTACTGGAAGGCTCAATCATGTTGCTATAGACTCCTTGAATAATGCATTTTTTCTAGTAATAATGTTTGCACACTTCAGCCAATACAGTTGGATCATTTTTGATATTTTTGGTTGTAGTAATATGCAGTTGAATGCACCTAGTGACAGAAGGGACATAGTTGCAATTTGTAATGTTGAAGGTGTGGTCTATAGGATTTACATTAGCTGCACTTCTTAAGGAAGTGCAACTCTTTAGTTATCCTCATCGTTTGAGATAATTCTTAGAAAATACCACATAGTTTTCTCAACAAATGTGGACTTGTTTTGGTCAATGTTAGCATTGCTGTGGTTGAACTACCTATACTTTTTTTCCCCTCTCCAAAGAGAATATTTCATCCACCACTATTAAATATTTCAATGTTAGCATCATCATAGCTGATGGAATGAAAAGTTATTTGTTTGATGCAACTTTTAAGTAACAACTAGTAAAGACTTTTCCCTTCAGCATTTTAATAAATATTATTGCTTTCTACGATTAGCCACAAATATTCCCTAGCTTTCTTTCAGAGAATCAGGGGGTTCAATATTATATTTTTTCTGTAAAACCCCTGTAAAAAAATGTGCCATCCAGCAAGTTGCTGCAGTGTTACCTAAAATGACATGTTTATATTGGGCTACTGGACCAAGGATCATATGTTGAGTGTTATGGTGTCTATTGGCAACTAACTTTTTTTTTTAAAGGCTGAACTGTTAAGCACGGGCTGGTGGAGTAGGTGGGAGCTGACCCTATACATTACTCTCAATTCTATGTCGCTGATTCAGTTGTGGAGATTCTTTGGTAGGGACACTTTACAGACCTTCAGCCTGTACCTTAATCTCTGTAGATGGGTAAGGTTTCCCCATAGACTTCCGTGAGGCTAGGCCCCAGAGGAGATAAGAGTAAATTGCATTTAAATCAAAAACAAAAATGTAACATATTGTAACCTACAAATCCTTGAATGCGGTGGCTGCATTTGTTTTCTTTTTATTTTCCCCTGCTAATATGGCCAGTTAACACATTTACATCCTTAGTATGACTTCACTCTATGGAAGAGCAATGGGGTCACCCTTGGACAACAGCATTGTAAGCCTGTGGATGTGTTAGATGCACTACATTTAGCTGGACAGTTTGGTCTGTGAAAAATAACAGACTTACTGACAGGATCACGAGGTGAAAATAAAGGGGGAAAAAAGCTTAAAAAAAGAAAAGTAATGCAGCCACCACATTTTAAGCATTGGTTAGCTGCAGTATATTTAATGTTTGCTTTTGGGTTGAGATATGCTTTAAACCATGGGTTGCAGATTCCAGAAACCCATTATGACTAAATTGCAAGTACAGGATCAGATACATGGAGTGAAGATAATTTCTACAATATGCTTATGTTTACTCCACCAGCCCCTTTATAATAGTTTCATGTATTTATTTGTTTTTTAAATCATGTATGAGCCTTACAAGAGAATGTTAAAATTTTACATTGCAAAAGGCCAAGACACTGCCAGATTTAGCAGACTGCAATGTATAAGATCACTTTGATGACATGCTATCTCCTGTTCCACTGCAAAGTCCGCTTCACCCTGTGTCCAAACCTGTGTGTACGAAAGCTTTGCAAATTTCAGTCATACCGAAAGTCTTTCTGTCTCAACAGTGTTAAAAGTGCACTTAATATGTTGGCTTAATTTACATCATAATGCTGTGCTTGTTTTCCTATACAGCTTCATACAGTAAATATAAAATATATAAAAGAAGTTATGAATTAGAGCTAAGATTGTTCAGGGGAACCATTAAGAATACTAAGGACTTTTTTGTTGTTGTTATTTAGTGTTAATTTTATAATAATTTATGTTTTGCTGAAATGATTGAAACTGAGTAATGCAACTTAGGAAAGTCAGAGCAATGTTTATATTTTTTTTATATGCGTTATGTTGTATATTTCTAAAGATGAAAATAATCTGTACATATCTTGGTTATTTTTGCACAGTTTTTTTAAGATTGTAAGGTCATTATTTATTTATTTCTTTCTTTCTGGTGTGCCGAAACTGAGGATTGAAAATCTTGCCTCTTCCCTTGCTGCTTTACATTCCTTCCTTTAAATACCCATTTCTTCCTAAAACGTTTCATAGAGCTTTTCTTTCATCTCTGAACTTTAAATCAATGTCTAGTTGTGAGCTTCTCCCTCCTTTATCCAGAATGTCCAGGCAGGAGAAATGTAAGGGTAATATAACAATTCCATATAGCACTAATGCCTCAAAGAACCTTTGGCCAGAGTACAGCTAATGCTGACAGTAAAGCAATACACATAAGCTACTTTCATTTGCCCATCAGCCATGGAATATTTAACCGGAAAAGTTGTATCCTGCAATCATGTATGTTTCTGAAATTTTTGCCTCTCTCAAGTCAAGAGAATTGTTTCCCTTTTCTGGAATGTCTATTAAGAAGTAGTAGTTTGCTAACAATACTTAGAGAAAACAGTGCCTTGTAGATTGAGGGGTACAACTGTACACTTGCAAATTCCAATTGATTTTTTTGTAAATGATGCTTTAGACTTCCAGCAAAATTAGGTTTATTTGCCCTTATTGCAGACATTTTCACGTGCAGTATGGTGCGTGCATGTGCACACATATGTGTATGTGTGTGTATATATATATATATATATATATATCACCTGGGACCATAGTGTTCCTTGCACATGAAGCAAGTGTGCTGCCATATTTTGTTTTATTTTGTATTGCATTGTGCAGATAATCGGAAGCCAAGGGGTTTTCCATAAAAGTGGAGTGAACTCAAAGTTTTATATAGCAAGTGGGTGAACGCACCAACTATTGGTTTCATAAAATGTGTCAACCTTACCTGAACAAGCATAGGGACAGGAGCAAACTGATTCACTGCAGGTCAAATTATACTTAAAATTACAAAGGAAATTTGTAATTCTTCTGAATATTTCAGTTTGCTTTACAGTTATCTGGGACTTGAGTATATGGGTGTTCTCTTGTTCAGGAGAGTTGTCTGGAAAGTATCAGGCTTGCTTTGTCTGCCCAATTTGCCACAATTTAATTCATGCACTCTATGATAATGATTTATAATGATTTATAAGCCAATTTAGTTTCCAGAGTTTACTCCCTATGAGAGCTAATCCATTGTATTGGTTAGTAGATATTTGGAAAATAAAGTTCCAATTGTCCCTGATTTAACAGATCAAATACTGATGCTTTCAATCTAAGTATTATTACCATTTGAATAGGTTTTCACTACCACTTATTAAGTTGGATCAAATTGCCCTGACTTCTACAGTGTTGTGTTAAAAAAATGTGTCTTGTTACATAAAGTAGTATTTTATAATTAGCGCATAGCCCATCAATTTAACCACCTCAAGTCCAGTGACACATTTTACTGCCTTAGTGTCCTGCAACAATACAGGAAAAGAACATGGAAGATGTTTAGGTCTTTATGAGCTTAGGTTGAGTCAGGACCAGTTCTCAGTATG